CTCTCTCTCTCTCTCTCTCTGGTCTATTTTAATTCAACACATTGCAACTAAAAACGACATAATCTAATCTCTTCAGGTACCTACCTCTCTCATCTCTCATTGTCTTTATATTTTCTTCTCATTTTAGTTCAGTTTCCGCTGCGAATTTGCAATGCAAGGATTAATTTTAACTTGGTTTTTCTGTTATAGGATTTCGTAATCTATGGCTTTGATGAGTTACCACTCGAATTGGAGGACACTCGACTCATATATGAGCACCCAACCTGCACAGACAGAGCTGGTTCCCGAGCTTCTAGATTTCGAAAATGATCTTACGTTGTCAAATACTTGCATTGATCCACTGTTCCTGCAGCAGAATGATCACTTTTTTTACTCATGCGACGGTTACAATTGCGTATACCCTTCGTCTGATAATCTCAACACCCTTGCACCAGAACCCTTTGAATTAATTGACTCCAAACGCCAAAAAACATTCGATAATTATGAAGATGTTAATTACTCGGAATTATTTTATCCGGGTTTTGTTCCAAATCCTTGTGTGATTCAGGATTTCAAGCCAGACGTTATGTTGCCGCCACTGCCGGATTTTCCAACTGCTTCCCCTCGCTGTGGAAGTTCCGAGAGTGTGAAAAGGGTTAATGGGGAAGGGAGCTTGTCAGCCCAGAGCATCGCGGCCAGGCAGCGGCGGAGGAAGATTACCGAGAAGACTCAGGAGCTCGGGAAGCTTGTTCCAGGTGGACAAAAAATGAACACTGCTGAAATGTTTCATGCAGCTTACAAATACATCGAGTTCTTGCAAACTCAAGTTGGGATTCTTGAATTTATGGGATCATACGAGGTAATTCAAGTTTCTTAATCATTTTAATTAAAATTAGGTATTATTCTGGTAAATTTTGATATTAATCCTTTGTGTACTTGTAGCAAAATGGGGTGACCACTATACATCAAAGTGAAGACTTGACTGCTCTTCTCGAATCGCCGCTAATTCAAGAAAAGTTATACTCGATTGAGAAATGTCTAGTTCCATGGAAGTTTGTCAAAATCCTAGAAAATGGTGGTCGAATCGAATCTAAATCTCAGGTTTTGAAGGAATGCAAGAAGTTGATTCCAAAGTTAGAGCACTAATCAAGCTAACTACAGGAATAGGAAGGCATTTTTTTTTTTAATGTAGTTTTGTTGTATTTCTTTCCTAGCATAGTCATGGTTTTTTTTCCTAGTACATTTTCCTAGAGAGGCTGTCAGAATTTTACGTGTCCAAAATGTTTCATGTAAATTCCTCCTTTGCAAGAATGGATAGAAGTTTATTTATTTTAGCATATGAAATTAAGAACAAAACTGTTTAAACGGAAAGGAATTAATGACACCTTTAATTTCGTTATAATTTCAGAATTAAGACTTTGTATTTATTGGATAAAAGGCATAAGTAATACGTTATTTGTTTCTGTATAGAGCAAAAAAAAAGGATAAAATAACACTCTTAGCGGTTTTCATGCAAGTTGGTTGGTACTTTTTTATTTCTTCTTTGTAATTTTTTGTTTTTATTTTTTGTTTTAATTGAGGTTTTTATCAAAAAAATATTAAATACTCGTGACGAAATTGATGGTTACGATACGACACACATGTAAAATTTTCCCATATTTTAAAAACAAAGCTTTTTTTCAAAAAAAAAAAAAAAAGAAAAGAAAAAGAAAGTTTACTTAGGGCAATTCAAATTTATTTTCAAACACATTAGGTCGTGTTTGATTGATTTTATTTTTTATGGAAAATGTTTTTTTTTTTTTTCACTCAAATTCCTACCTTCAGGATGTTTAATTGACATTTTTTTCCATGGAAAATATTTCACAAAAATTAGTTATGTGACCATAGGAAAACAATNTTCACTCAAATTCCTACCTTTAGGATGTTTAATTGACATTTTTTTCCATGGAAAATATTTCACAAAAATTAGTTATGTGACCATAGGAAAACAATTTTTTAGGAAGAGAGAAGTTTTCATTTTCCATGCAATTCTCTCTCTCTATCTCTCTCTCTTTTAGGAAGAGAGAAGTTTTTATTTTCTAGGCAATTCCCTCGCTCTCTCTCTCTCTCATCCACCCCCTCTCTCAACTATCTACCAATAAAAGATGGACAAATATAACATTTTCTAGGTTCAAAATTAAACCAATCAAACACATTTTATTAATATTCTCAGCAGAAGATTCATAAACTTCTTGATCGCTTAGAGGTGGATTGATTTTTTGCTAAAAAGAATGTCTGCCAACTATTGTTAACTCTTCAGGATTAATGTTACTTGTACATAATTATTTGCTCTAAATTATGTATAAATTATATAGCATAATTTAGAGTTTAATTCCCGCATGATAAAGAAATTTGTTTCAGGATGTGACTCTCGTCAGAAATGAGAATGAAGTAACCCAAAATTTGTCATTTTTATAGTGTTTAATTTCATTGGATCGAATCTTGTTAATAAGGTCAACATTCATTAAAATTTCATCATCGGTCTGGTTTATCTAAAATCGGATCCTCATATGATTACATGCCAAAAACATAGCAATCATGTTATGTAGCATGTTGACCTTGAAAAGTGGCTCAAACACGTGGTCAACATGATGTAACTTCCATGTAAGCTCTTTTCTGCACATAGTAACACACTGTTAGTTGCTCGTGGCCTTTTTGGATGAAGGTGGAACGACCATAAGCACTCCGACGACAACCAAGTTAGTGAATTGATAAATCGGAGTTAGGATGTCCGATGGTGGTGGTGATCACCTTAACGTGGCAATCGAGGTAAATGTGTGCGGGCAAAAATAATACAAAAAGCTTGTGTTATTTTCTCTCTACAAAGTACAAACCGCCCATTTCCATAGTGTAAGTGTGGATATTTATAATGAAAGGAGGTAAAAGAAGAACCGTTGGATATGGAGTACATGACTTTGAATCTTGGATGGACCGTCCTTTCATAGGTGTCAATCCGTCAATCCATAAGTAGGTGATTTAATTAATGCTTCCGACATAGTAATTCGTGACTTGACATTTTGAAGTCTACCATACGTCGCGTCAATCAGTCTAAGGATTTGATTATTGAGATCTTTACATAAAAGATCTCCTAGTACATAGGCTCGAAGTGGAGAGGTTTGCGGCAGAAGTGGTAATCGCATTCTGGGTCTCATCACTTCGAACTTAGTTTCAGTTAGTAATATTGGTCAGTCGGTTTGAGGTGTGACGAAATGATATGGAGTGCGGGCCTTAGCATCCGCTATGAAGCGGATGGATTCAGTTCATTTGCCACGTGACGGTGGAATTCGGTTCGTTCGTTCATGTCATCCAACACGTCACACGTGGCGGATGACATGAAAACCTGTAACATAGCATTACCTCAAAACTTTCGAAGGCACAGCTGCAACAGAAAAAAATTGACATGACACTTACTAGCAGAGCAAATTGAATAGGTTGCTTACTATAACAATAATAAAGATTCATTAAATTATCATCCATGCGAAAAAATTATCTAGTGAATAATTTCAAATAAGAAAATCGAAAACATAAAAAATACAAGAGACTATTCTAATTGATGTAAAAACATAGTTCATCTAAAGATTTAAAAGAGCCCAACACAAATGAGAATAAAACCATAATATCTATCAGTGACCCATAATGACTAGAAAATTGAGATGCAAATAAAAAAATAAAAACAAAAACCAATATTCAGCTAAAAAATTAAGGGAGACCCGCACAAATCAAAAGAAAACAACACAATTACCAATAAAATATAGCAAACAATTATTTAAAAAAAAAAGATAAAAAAAGATAATTGAGCCGAAAATCAAGATTATTAGAAGGAAAAGAAATTATGAGTTTGAATAAAAATTCAGATTTAATACTGTACATAATTATGATGGGCTGCTTATGAATATTGGGTCTAATATGAATGTAACTTAAAACTAATTTATTTTCAGATTTACAAAAATTGAAACCTAAAACAAACTACTTGGAAACAATTTGGTTAGTACAAACAACAAAACGCTGACTGATCCATATGGACCCAAACCAACAGTTTCGAAAAAGCTTTCGATTTAGTTTTGTTTATTTTGCGATATATATATATTTGAAACTTATTTACTTATAAGTAAACTTATAAACAAATGTTTGAAAACTTGTATACTTCTAACTAATTTGGATGCACTTTTGGAGTAGTAAATATTGAAAAATCCATCCATAGCAAGTTTATCTTTACCTGTAACTGCTATGAAAACTGCCTCTCTTCTCTAAATCGTTTGAATTTCACCCAGAAATAGAAACTGCCAAATATTTCTTACAGAGGACAAAGTTTATCAATGGCTCTCATTTCTGCAAATTTTCTTCTATTCTTCCTCACAATTTCACTCTCCAGTCCTTCAATTCTCACAACATCAGTAGTTGAAGACCTTGACAACTTGAAACCGCCCCCAGATTTCAACCTCACAATCACAAACAACTGTCTCAGAAACCCTGACCTCAGATACTGCAAAGCCACCCCTTTTGATCTTCATGAAATTTTCAAGTCTACAATTGTTGCTAGCCACTTGTGTAACATTTCCAACAATCCAAACTGCGTCGAATCCTTTCCGAAAATAGATCTTCACAGCCAACCAAAAATAGCACCACTTTATATATCATTCACTTTCTTCTGGAAATACTGTCCCTTAACCATACTATCCATTGATCTTAGTAACAATTCATTGAAAGGTAACTTCCCATCTGAGGTTTTTAACTGTTCGCAAATTCAACAACTTGATTTGAGCCACAATGAACTTTCTGGGGATGTGCCTGTGCAGAATTTCGATCACCTGCCGAACCTCACATTCCTTAGTCTTTCATATAATCACTTCTCTGAGTGTAAAATCTCCAACAAGAACTTCTTCAAACGGTTTAATACTACGAGTTTCATTCATTCGGGTCTTCTTCCAAATCATAAAAAGTTTAGGATTAAGGCTGTACTTCTATTAGTTGGTTTTCCAATCTCTGTGGTTGCAACTGTGGCTTGGTTTGGATGGCTGTGTTTTTGGAGACCGGATTTTCTACCGAAGTTCCTTCAAAGAAAATACAAGTTTACACCATCCACTCTCAAGGCAGCAACAAATGGGCTTTCCAAAAAAAATTTGGTGGCGAAGAGTTCCACAATTGGCATTTACAGAGGGATTCTAAGAGATGGAAATGAAGTAAAAATTGAGATATACTGGGAAACCATATCGAGGGAAAGTAGAAGGAGATTTGTAGAACAATGCAAGATTCTTGTTCAGTTATACCACAAAAATATAGCCCCTGTACTAGGTTGGTGTGACAATCGCAGATTTAGGGCAATTGTCACTAAATGGATAGATGGAGAAAACATTGAGACATGGCTATCAAGGTCAGCTCCACAGTGGAAGCAAAGGGTAAAAGCATTTATAGGAATTGCAGCAGGAATATGCTATTTGCATGAAGAATGGCCTGAAGTTGGCTATGACCTCAAAACAAGAGACATCCAGCTGTCAGAAGGAGAACCCTTGATATCAAGGTTTAAATTTGATCATCATAATAGCAGCACAAAAAGTAAGTAATAACTATCCTTCTACTTGTGAGTCCTAAAGAGTAATTTTATGAGTTCTTTTCTTCAATTGTTCCAGAAATATACAAATTCGGGGTGTTCATATTAGAGATGGTATCGAATAGGCGGCCACTGGAAGACTTTGAGAGGGGTGAAGCTGGTTTTGTTGAGTGGGTGAAAATGCATTACCCTGATAACTTGGAGAATGTTATTGACAAGAGAATCAAAAGGACGGGGCACATTGTTCATGAAGCCACAGATGCAATTGGACTGGGGCTGATGTGCACAGATCTATCTAGCGGTAATCAACCCAGCTGGGATCATCTATCTAATATGGTGTCAAACATGTGAATCACAGAGGATTATTATAATTTGTATGTATTAATTGAACAAATTCAGATATATAAGAAACATGCACATAAAATATTTGATGTACTACAATATTTACACTGGCACACACGCCCAAAAGCACAGGAGTGATTATGACATGCAATTCTTTTAAAGAAGATGGGAGAGATGTGAATAGCCTGCAAGCAAATACATTGACATTCATTTTAAATATTGTGCCTGAAATTTTACCCAATAGCACATAAAAAATTAGTAGTTCATACAATGCCATAGAGCGAATGGCCCAATTTTTCTACTCCACTTATGGGAAGCAATGTTACATACCCCAAATTGACTGCATGTATACATAATTCAATCACATAAATGAATAAAAAAACAAACAATTTTTGAAGTGAAAGTGCAAACTAGGGAAGATTTCTATAAAATACATCTCGGTAAAAGACCAAAAAGAGAATGTCATCATTTGATGATGCCAGGTCTATTTACTTGCCTCTTAGATTTGGACTTGTGAACTCTCTTTGGCAACTCAGGTGCCAATGCATACATCTTCACGGCAAATAGTTCATTGGGAAATCCTTTTTGGTCCTGGGACAATTGTATTTTACATAAATTTTAAATGTACTCAAGGTTTTAGGTAGGACAATATTTAATGGTATTTGCATACTAAGTATCAAGAAATGAATAGTGTTCTTTCAGATTGAGCTAGTTTTGGTCTAAGAAGCACGGATTCGGGTATGTAATTCGAATACGATATAATACTGGTATGCTGATATAACTTTTTAAAAAATAATTAGGTAATGTAGATATGTGTATTAAAAGTTTTAATACCATTATCAATTTCCAATAATAAAACTATAAAACTTTTAATAATAAAACTCTAGTTGTCAATTATTCACTACTATAGAGATATAATAATAAGTATAAACTATATAGTTATTTATTATCTTAAAACACGTTTGCTTTCTTTGAAATTGTTAATTAATAAATATTGTCTGTTTTCAATAAATTAATAATAATAATAATTGTCTATTATTTAAAAAATATTTTATCATCTATTGTCAATAATAATGGATTTTAAAAGAGTTTAAAACAAATAAAACTATTTCTTCTTCACTTGTCATAAGGAGTTTGATTCATATCGAAAATTTTAAAAAATATAAAAATATATAAAATAACTAAAAAAAATACGTATCCCGCACATATTAAAGAGACTTAGGTACATATCGGATACGGGTACGCAATAAGCTTACAAGTGTCCATGCTTCTTAGGTTTTGGTTATCAAACCTGCCTACTGTAATCTAAAGACACAATCATAATTAGTATATATTATAAAGACATGATAATACCTTCATTTTGTATATTTGAAGCCCACACTGATTGAAGAGTTGCTTGAAGTACAAGTCTGATCTAGTAACACTCCTGTCTTGTTTATCCAAAACAAATCCTAATCAACACGGATTAGTATCTTGGTGAGTATTCATACCACAAAAATGGCAATTTTCACAAAGCCAATAAAAGTTAAAAAAATAAAATAAAAATCAGGGACGGCAACCTGAAAATTGATGCTAAAGACAATCATTTAACATATATGGAACAACACAAGCATTGAATCATCCATTTCATTAGAAGAATAATGAAGAGACTGAGAGGTCTTATGAGTTATGATTGAAGCAGAAGTTCAGGGAATTATAGAATCATTACCATGTCTTGCAATGTTTTCCTTGAGAACAAAAAAGCCACCGGGTTTGAGACCACCCTGGAATAGAACCATCTGTTAGAATTGTTACACATAATTATTTATAACAAGATGTAATTAGAATTTCCCAGATATACAGTTTTATTAAACTTTGAGCTCAGAACGAGAATAGTCACTAGAGTGATTATTAATAAAATACGTTTTCTATGTACTCTGGTAATTTAAATTTGCTTACAATTCAGCTACAAAATAAGCCTTCCAAGGCAGAATAAGATGAGCATATTTGTCATCAAATTGACATGTAATGAGAAACATAGTTTTGTGGACAAGTTTAAGTAGTACGTCATGCTTCACCTATGAAACTACCCCTCCTGGAAAAGCTTCATGAGCACGAAGAAGCAGCATTTGAGTTTTTACACCAATCTTTGCAGTTGAAGACATAGCAATTAGTGTGAGAAATTATAAAGATCCAACCCCCAGATGACAGGCAATGCCACCAGACTGATTGACTCGATAACTATCAAAGATGAGAAAATTTTCAGGATATCATCCAAAAATACAAACAGTAACAGTAGTATATTATCACCTTTGCTCTCTTGAAGAACGATATGAAGTCTTCATCTGAAAGATGTCCTATACACCACTGGACCCATATAACATCATACCTTTGTGCATCGGGAGTGAACTCCTAAAAGAAAATTGGAAAGGAGGAGTCACTGAGTAGCAAAGAGAAAAATAATTGAACATCTAAAAAGATTTTTTTTTTTACCCTAAAGCACTTTGTTTTGTCATAAAGTTATTAACATATTTCAATCAGACCCAAAGTTTCATATGTGGCAACAGAATTTACAAGAAGATTACAGGATTAACTTCGCATAGGGAAAACAATTGAATAGTAAATCCAGTATCATTCTAGAAAATTCTGAAATGATGACAAACTACCTACAACCATGACTAGAAAGTGAAAAAATGCAACTAACTTTTCAAAGTAATTCATGTCTACACAAGTTACCTGCAGAGGAACACAATAGAAATTCACAGCCTTGTGCTCTTCTGTGACCATCAAATTTTCTGGTGCCAAATTTATGCGAGCAGCATCCAGAAAATGGGAAACAGGCTCAAGAAGGTCAATCTGGATCCAGGGAACCATATTAAACAAATGAAAAAAAATCATTTTGAAAGGTTAAATCATATTGTCATATTAGCCCGCAGATCCTACAACATTACCAAATACTAGAATTTAGGTGCTGCTGAAAGCATCATGTTTAGTTCCAAAAGAAAGTGATGTATTTGATTTGGCCACCTCCAGTGAACTACTACATCATATAACCCATTTTTTAAAATAACTATTGGATGCATACGCCTTGAATCCCGTCTCAAAAATTACATCTTAAGGCCCATATGCGAGGCTTTTGCCTCAATTCACAAAGGCTTGCACCTCAACTTACTAAGGCTTATGCATCAGGAGTAAGCCAAATGGGACTAAGGTGTTCATCCGTTTGTCTTGCATTTTTCAAATATTTTGTAGTTTGTCTTACATTTTTCAGATGTTTTGTTGTTTGTCATAGCTTTTTGAGCAATTCTTTTACAATCTAGAATGTTCTATGGACTTTTTATTTTCAATTTTCTTTTTTTTTTTTGTCTTTACACAGAGGGGAAAGGGAAAGAGAATACATGATCGCTAATGGGAATGATAACAAAGAATGAAAAGAAACCAATAGTGAGGACAATGATGATGTTGATGATTCACTTAAAGATCCTATGAATAGTGATAATAAGATTTCTATGTTGTTTCTACTTTTATAGTATATTGTAATTTTGTTTCCTGATTACTAATATAAAAACTTACTATTAGTTACTTTATTAAACTATTTTATGCTTCTTTGCAATTTAGACTTTTAATTTTGTTAATATATTTGATTGTAATTTATTTAAGATGGTTTATTACAAGCATATTTTTATTTTTTTCAAATTATTTTGAATTATTTTACCGGTTTTTCTTGAGGCTTATGCCTCAATTCAATGAGATAAAACACCTCCGTACCCAGTTACACCTTTTAAATCTATGGATATAGCTTTAACAAACTATAGAGTTATTATGCAACAAGAAGGAGAAAGTCATAAAAAGAGAGAGAAAGAATGGACAGGATTATAGAAAATTGGTGGCCTTCACAAAACAAGCCAGAAATGGTAATATGGTGGCATAGAAGAGCATAAACAATTTTCAACAAGGAGCAGATAAAGTTAGAAAAGGAAAAAAAAAATGAGTAATGAAAATGCCTCACGTCTAAATCTACAGAATCTGGGAAAAAATTGCACACAGCTAAACAGGCAAATATCAGCAGAATTGTGAATGATTCTTTTGTAGTGTGTGCAGCCAGCAGCACTTTTCTGGTGTGACAACATTCTTTTGGAACTTCTAAGACACTAAATAAGAGTATGTAAATATCTATGGAAAACAAATACTACCTCATTGAAATATCTTCTAAGAAGGTTTTTGCTGACCCTTCCTATGCCTGAGCCACAATCTGCAGAGATAGTAACAAAGAGTCAACTCTCTGAGAAATGGTTCAGTGGAAATTTCACAAGTTAATGAATCATCGAACCCAAAAGGGAACAAAAGAAAAAATAAGAATAAGAATGGGCGTCCAACATGATTATTATGCAAGTCATTTGCACAATTGTTAAACCTTGCAAAAAAACAAGAATATAGAACGCCTAAAGTAGTAAAAAAAAATTGCTACATCTTTTTGTTCATTTTATGTTCTCCTATGCTTCATGGTGCATTTCATTGAGCTTTAATCGTGTGAAACTACCACATGTTTCCTCGTATAAACAATGTGGTGTGACAACACATGGCACAATAACCTACATCCCTAAGTCCTCATTAATTCTTTTTGATAAAGTAGTAATTAAACACACAAACATCTCAACACTGTCGGATAATATCTATGTCCTCATTCGAAAACAGAAAACTTATTTCACTTAAAAGTAGCACAAACTCTGCTATTACTAGGTTCAAGCACAAACTCAGCTATTACTAGTTATCTTATCTATGTTGATATGTATGTGGTACTGAAGAGAAATAGAAACAGAGAGCAGGCAAAGAGTACCAAGAACAACAAGATTGCCACTTCTACCAGCATCAAGAAATCTTTCAGCCAAAAGGGAATTCAAGAATTCCTCACTGCCCTTTATATCAGGCTCATTCACATGCCCATACCCTCCCAGCACTCCATCCATCGTTGCCTCCACACCCTTCTTGCCACCATATGCACAAATATACACACAAGAAACATATAAGCAGAACGAAGAATAAAAAAGTGCATACATAGATAAATACGCGTTTGGGAATGAAAAAAGATTCGTACTTGCCAATAGCCAACGCCTTCGGTGTACCAATTCGACTTCTTGCTAGGGTCAGCCACTCCCACCTCTTCTCTCCACATCTCCTCCGCGTTCTTGAATTCACGGCCGTCTGAGTCTATGCCACCGGCGTCCATTTCGTGGTTCGGATTATTCACCGATACTCTGCCCCCACTAGACTTTGGCAACTGCGGCCTTGGATAACGCGAGTGAAGAGAATGAGAACTTGGGCTTGGGTTCGGCTTTGGCAATGGTGGACTAACAAAATGGACTCTAGTATGGTACATAACGCGGTTGTACACTAGCAATCGTGAAAAAATAAGTGGTAGCACCTATTTACGAGAAAATTACCCCAAACCCTACTTATCAAAATTCATATTCAAAAATGAGGAGATAAGTTAAATCTTTCAAAAATCAGATGTTTTATATATTATTAATTAAATTAATTCACAAATCAAGCCCACGACTCTCATTTCCCCCAAAGCTCGTTCTCTCTCTACGTCTCCCCTCTCTCTCTCCAATTG